TCCTGCTGATGTATGTGCAGATACTAAAACGGATTGATTATTATCAACACACTGAATGGCTTCTCTTTGAAAAGCATCAAGAATGAATGGGTACTCCTATAAAAACAAAAATATCTACATGAACATACCTAGCCAAATCAGACCACATTTAAAAATTAAAAAGAGGGGCAACCCCAAAAATATTCTAGGAGCTTTCCTTTACAATTCTAATTAGAAAATATACTACCCATTACCAAAAATCAAGAAGAGTTAAAAAAAAATCTTTATCCAGCCCCACAGAAGTTAATTCTGCTGTCTAATCTTTTAATTATTATATTTTATACATAAATTATGCTAACAATGAAACAATCATTACTATTTAGCAAGAACATATTTTGTAATAAACACTATGCAACGTTTCCTATATATTATTAGTGTACAAAACAACCCCTAAAATAGCTATTTGTTCTTTTGAACCATGGGAACTCTGGGGCCAGCATGAGACCTGGTAGTTAAGGCAGCTGGATCTCACATGACTAAAGACACTCTGGGCACATATATGTGTATGCCTAAAATCCTGACAGTAGGGAGGAAATGGAGTAGAAGGGATTACAGCGTGACTATCCCCATGGGGAGATGCTTTTTCACTTTTTCTTTCTTTTGCCTCTCTCCTGCTAGCACATGTACCTTATGTCAAAAATTTAAAAAAAAAAAAAAGGGGGGGGGGGACACTGATGCTCTAAAGTCTCTCATTTAAGTTCACTCATCAAGAGCAAAATAATGTACTCATTAGTCTTTAAGTGTTCATGCTTACTTCACCACACTCTTTTGGGTTTTTTTAGAGAAAATTAATTAGAAATTTTAACTTTTAAAATCTGCTCACAGAGCTGGCTCAGTGGGCAGAATGGAAGTTTGATTCCACATGGCTGTTCATGCAGTTAGAATCTCAACCCCAACAGATTAAGAAACATGCCCACTGCCTGTGCATGCATGCCCAAAATCCCAAGAAGGGGTAATTATGGCATGGGGGCTGTTTTCCCCTTCTTTCTGGCTAGTGTACATATCCTCTGGCAAAATGGTTAACAGCCAGCTGCAGTGGCACAGGAGTAATGCAATGCAGCAGAATGCCATGGAGAATCCTGGACTTGCTTTCTGAGGTCTCCCTATACACACATAGCTATGGCTGGGAGATGGCTGTGGCATGAAGCTCCTACTAGGGATGTCTGTCTCTCAGTCTCTGTTCTCACTCTCTCATGTGAAACAAATTTTAAAAATTAACTTTTTAAGGTATATCAGGAATTAAAACCCCATTTACTAAAAGCAGAGTTCGCTTTTACTAGAAGCTTGTTAAAACTATAGCCTAACTCATACATATGCATATATTTCTAGAGAAAGATTGATAACTTTCATTAGATTTTTTTTTCAAAAGATGGAGAATGTCTATTCTACTGTTTTAAAAATCCCATCACATGATGCTTAGATTCCAGCATGGTTGTTTACTGATTCAGTTCTATTTCTCTCTAGTTGACTTTGTGTACATGTACCAGCAAGCAAAAAAAAATTGCATTTGAGGGGATGGCAGATGGCATGCTGGTTAAGGTACTGGACTCCCGCATGCTTCGATCCTGGCCCTGATGGCTTGATTTCTCAGTTTCCCTTTCTCTTTCTCTCTGGTCAAGTTAAAAAAAGAATACTACCAAATAAAATTAAATAAATAATTATGTGTATATATATATATATATATATACACATACACACACACACACACACACACACTATATATATATACACGCACATAGCAGTATATATGTAATGCACATATCTCATTAAAGAATATTTTTAAATTTTCATTTGAAATAGTTAAAGAATTTTAAGAAACATAGTCTCACAAAACTGTACAAGCTTTATCCCTAAGTACAAACCTTTGCAGCTTTTCCAACTCGAGGTTTCAGTGGTAAATAATCCTCATCTGCAGGGAGTGCAACCTGTTACAGAAATTTAAAACAAAAATAACTTACTATTTGAGAATTGATGGATTCAGCAGTCTATAATCAATGACAGTTTGAAAAACAATAAAATGATAAACTAGAGTGTTTCTGATAGTTTTGGACACCATAAAATTAAATAACTATATTGTATTTTTAAGAGAGATTTTTGCTGTATGGCAAATGCACTTGTTGGAAAGACAGCCACAGAGACAGAAAGTGAGAAATCACTCCCCCCAGGATGCATGGCCACACAGCAATTCCTTCTCCTCTATTCTCCTCTCTCAAGATTTTAGGCACACACGCACATGCACTCAGCATGAGTTTCAAGCCACTGGTTCTGGACTTGAACCACAGTTGGCTATCCAGGAGTCCAGTGACAGCCATTACACCTCTGCTGGTCCCAATAACTATCTTTAAGAACAAGACTGAACGCTGTATACAACATTTAAAAATATCTCTACTATCACTTGTCTAAGTAATTTTAATTGAAGCTTATATGTTTATCTCCCTGTAAAAATTAGTACTGGCGATGTTACATGGGTTTATTTTGGTTTATTTATTTTTTTTTTTTTGGAGAGCTTTTTGCAATAGGGCATGTGCACTCACCAGAAAGACAGAGAGACAGAAAGCAAGAAATCATCCCCTAAAGGGGATGGCCACACCACAATTCCTTCTCCTCCAGTCTCCTCTCGGGATCTTGGGCACACATGCACACACACACGGCGCCCACCCGGTCCAGGACTTGAACCGTGATCAACTACATGGGAGTTCAGCAACATAGCCATTACGCTAACTACTGATCCCTGTTACATATTTTTAACAATATAGTAGTAATCTAACCAGTTAGTATATAGTCCACAAGGTCAAAATATGGTACAAAACTTAGGTGTCATTTCTAAGAACAAAACATCAGTGAACAAATATTAGATGAGATTATAGAAATATTGAGAAGATGGTCAGTAAACTTTCACCTCAATTACAATCAAGACAATGTGGGTAGTTTCAGAAAGGAGTGACTAGAGGGACCGGCCCCTAGCCTAGTAGTCAAGGGGCTGAATCCAACATGGTTAATCATGTGGTTTGAATCCTGGACCCTGCAGCCTGAAAGACATGCCAGGCAAGTACACATGCGTGCCCAAAATCCCAAAGAGAGGAAGAAATGGAGAAGGGACTGTGGCATGATCATGCCTCATGGGGGTATTGTCTCCTCTTACCCCTTTTCACTGTCTCTGATGAGCACATGTACTTTCTGGAAAAATTAAAGATGGGAATAACTAGAATATGACTGTAGTTCATTAAAACCTAATAAAGTATTAAACCTAATGAGTAATACCCAGTATGAAGAATGTATCAGGAGAAATCTGACATCCTAAACCAAATCCAAGGGAAACTCAAGTTAGAATTTGAAGACAGAATATAAAATATAAGACCTAATTCTTTATCCTATTTTTAATTGTAATAAAGAATATAAGCAGAACATAGAATTTTAAGTTAGATAATACCAGCAGATGGCATAATGGTTACTGTGCTGGACTCCCACATGACCTACCATGGTTAAGTCCCAGACCCAGTAGCTTGAAACTCACGCTGGGCATGTGTGTGTGCATGCCTGCCCCAAATCCCCAGAGAATGGAGAAGAGACTGTGATGTGGCCATTCTCCCTGAGGGGTGACTTCTCACTTTCTATCACTCCATCTCTCTCTGGCGAGTGCACATGCCCTATAGAAAAAAATCTCTCAAAAAAAAAAAAAAAGAATAAAAAAAGAATGTGAAGTTAGAATATAGATGTCAGAATCTATAAAGGGGATCCAAAGGTTAGAATTCAGTAATTTATCCTGCAATTTATAAAAGAGTAAATGCCAATAAACTTCTACTTTCGTAATTCTGATTCCCATGTAGTTCAATATAAACAGGACTACTTATCCATTAAATTAAGGAAATTAGATTTAAAAATCACAAAGTTTGTAGGAAAATTTAATATTAAAGTTGGTACCAGCAGTTAGCGTAATGGCTATGTTGCTGGACTCCTACATAGTCGACTGTGGTTCACGTCCCAGACCCGACCAGTTAGTATATAGTCCACAAGGTCAAAATATGGTACAAAACTTAGGTGTCATTTCTAAGAACAAAACATCAGTGAACAAATATTAGATGAGATTATAGAAATATTGAGAAGATGGTCAGTAAACTTTCACCTCAATTACAATCAAGACAATGTGGGTAGTTTCAGAAAGGAGTGACTAGAGGGACCGGCCCCTAGCCTAGTAGTCAAGGGGCTGAATCCAACATGGTTAATCATGTGGTTTGAATCCTGGACCCTGCAGCCTGAAAGACATGCCAGGCAAGTACACATGCGTGCCCAAAATCCCAAAGAGAGGAAGAAATGGAGAAGGGACTGTGGCATGATCATGCCTCATGGGGGTATTGTCTCCTCTTACCCCTTTTCACTGTCTCTGATGAGCACATGTACTTTCTGGAAAAATTAAAGATGGGAATAACTAGAATATGACTGTAGTTCATTAAAACCTAATAAAGTATTAAACCTAATGAGTAATACCCAGTATGAAGAATGTATCAGGAGAAATCTGACATCCTAAACCAAATCCAAGGGAAACTCAAGTTAGAATTTGAAGACAGAATATAAAATATAAGACCTAATTCTTTATCCTATTTTTAATTGTAATAAAGAATATAAGCAGAACATAGAATTTTAAGTTAGATAATACCAGCAGATGGCATAATGGTTACTGTGCTGGACTCCCACATGACCTACCATGGTTAAGTCCCAGACCCAGTAGCTTGAAACTCACGCTGGGCATGTGTGTGTGCATGCCTGCCCCAAATCCCCAGAGAATGGAGAAGAGACTGTGATGTGGCCATTCTCCCTGAGGGGTGACTTCTCACTTTCTATCACTCCATCTCTCTCTGGCGAGTGCACATGCCCTATAGAAAAAAATCTCTCAAAAAAAAAAAAAAAAGAATAAAAAAAGAATGTGAAGTTAGAATATAGATGTCAGAATCTATAAAGGGGATCCAAAGGTTAGAATTCAGTAATTTATCCTGCAATTTATAAAAGAGTAAATGCCAATAAACTTCTACTTTCGTAATTCTGATTCCCATGTAGTTCAATATAAACAGGACTACTTATCCATTAAATTAAGGAAATTAGATTTAAAAATCACAAAGTTTGTAGGAAAATTTAATATTAAAGTTGGTACCAGCAGTTAGCGTAATGGCTATGTTGCTGGACTCCTACATAGTCGACTGTGGTTCACGTCCCAGACCCGCTGGCTTAAACCTCACACCAGGCGCGTGTGCGTGCATGCCCAAGATCCTGAGAGGAGAATGGAGAAGAGATTGTGGCGTGGCCATCCCCCCTGGGAGGTGATTTCTTGCTTTCTGTCTCTCTGTCTCTCTCTCTCTGTCTGGCGAGCGCATGCACCCTATAGCAAAAACCTCTCAAAAAAATAAATAATATTCAGGTATAACTTTATTTGGTGTAAAAAATCGTAAACCCATTCATTTTTTCATAGCATGCATTTTTCATGGACTTTTTGAAGATCCTCTTGTAAACCTCCATCTCTTGAAGACATAAAAAAAAGTGTACCCTGGAGAGCCTAGCTACCCCTTGGTACCACCAGCTCCGTGGCCTGTGGTTGGGGCAGGCAGGTCCCATATGGCCCACCAAGCAGTTTAAGTCCCAGACTCAGCAGCTTGAGAAACATGCTAGACATATGTGCATGGATGCCCATAATCCAGAAAAGGAGGGAAGAGACGGAGGAGAAAGTGTTGCTGTGGGAAGCATGACCATTCTCCATGGGGAGGAGGGGGAGGTGCTTTCTTCTTTCCCTCTCTCCCATCCTCTAACAAAAAAAAAATAAAAAAGAAAGAAAGAAAGATGAACATTTTAAAAGATAAGGTTCAAATCTGTATCAAAAGCCACAGCTATTCATTAGAATTATTCTTACTTGTTCGTCTTTGAATCAGACTCACAATTATCTAATAAAAACTTACTGTAAGGTTTAAATTGTAATATTAAAAGCTTTCATAAAAAAAGGGACCAGCAGATGGCACAATGGTTAACATCACTGGACTCCCACATGGCCAGCTGCAGTTTAAGTCCTGGACCCAGTAGCCTGGAAATTACACCGGGCATGTGTGCATGTGTGCTCAAAATCCCAGGAGGAAAACAGAGACGGAAACTGCAGCATGGTCATGCCCCTTGGGGTGATTTCCCACTTTCCCTCCCACAGTCTCTGTGTCTCTCTCCAGCATGAAGACAAAAACATCTCAAACGCAAACAAACAAAAAAGTTTTGATAAAAGGAAAGCGTGCTACAGTTCCATTATGTTCCTTAGGTATATAAATTCTCTCCTTTAAATGGATACTACAAGCTAAGAGTGACCACCATCTTACAGCAGAACAAAGAAGCTGCAATTTATCAGTCATCAGGGCAAGATATAAAATAGCATATGACCTGCCAAAACGACACTGTTACTGGACTTTAGGAGTTCATTTATGAGCATGTACTAAATACCTCATCTGTGCTGAGTCATTTATCTAGTTTTCCTACATAATTTTCACAGCCACCTCATGAGGTAAACCTCATTATTCTAAAGTTACAAATTAAAAAAACCAGTATGTGGGGCCGGCCGGTAACGTGGTAGTTAAGGTGCTGGACTCCCTTCAAGTCCTGGACGTGATGGCTTGCTTTTCACTTTCTCCCCACCAATCTGATTAAATTAAAATAATTTAAAAAATGAAACAAAACAATATGCAGGGCCAGCTCTGTGGAACACTGCTCAAAATAAGCTGGATCCCACATGGTAACCACAGTTCAAAACTCTAGCCCAGCGTCTTTAAACATACTAGGTATGGGTCCAAGTACTCAAGATCCAATAACCTGGAGGAACAGAGGACTGGAATCGCAGCATGACCACAACCTGTGGAGGGTGCTCATCTCTCTATCATGCATATACTCTATCATAAATAAGCAAAAAAACAAAGAACCAATGTGCAAAGAGCTTAAGAAATGTTCCTGAGATTATAGTTAGGAAAAATGCTGGGCAAGCATTTAAACCCAGATTTGACTAAAGCCCTAACTCTTCCACTAGGTTAAGCACACTCCACAAGGCTAAAATGCTTGCTGATTGTAATACTAGACATTCCAAAGAAAAACCCCATTTATAACACTAATCTACTATATGCTGTTTGTGCTTACCTCATGTGTACATCCTTCAACAGTTTCAACTGATTGTACCTTGACTCTGGGCATTAGGTCTGCCAAACTTTAAAAAAATAAAACTAAAGTCACATAAATTATTTTTTAATAATCAGGCAAGTCTTTCATTTGAATTATGAAAAATATACTGACAAAGTACTAGTAATCAAAATAACTATGGCAGATAATTTTTCACATTACTCAAATACACAGTGAGAATTCAAACTGGTTAGTTAGCAGTTATTATTATAAACACAGAACAGCAGCCAGGTAAATTATTCAAAGGGTTATACCAGCCTATTTCTTTAAAAGAAAATTACTATTATATTTAACTTTATTCATTTTAACTGACCAAAGGACAAAGTGAGAGAAAGGAAGAGAGAGAGGGGATGTGAGAAAGTAAGTTGCCAGGTCTAGGCCTCAAACCACGGTTGACCCTGTGGGAGTCCAGCGCCCTTAACCATCACACCACCTGCTGGCCCCGCCAGACGATATCTAATAACTATTTCTGAATCAAAGTACCTCTATAAGGCAGTGTCATTACTTAAAAATACAAAGTTAGTCATAAAAACCAATATGCAACAAAAATGATAAAATACGCCTAATTCAGATGTTGCTATAACTTATAGAGGTATTCCTTAATCTCATCAAAATCCTAAATTATACTTGCCTAGGTTCTCTGTTAAGATTCTGAAAGCATAACTTTGGGTAAGTTAAAGAAAAAATAATTGTATTTCTATGGTAGATTCATTGTTCTCTTACTGTATTTCTGATTTTACTTTTTAAATCAATAATCCTACTTTGGCTAAAACTCAAGTTATAACAATAAGCAACACTGATTTTAAAGTATGCAAATTATTTTGTAACCTACTACACTAGCCTAGGACAATGGTACATCTTAAATATTTCAATAATCCATCTATCACCATTTATGGCAGACATTTTTACTAGCTCTTAACAATAACTAACTAGTTTTTAAAACATAAACACATCCTGGTAGTAACGAACTAGAATATGGCACTTAAGGGAAAAGCAATGTTCAAAGATCATCACTACAACGGGAAACAGCACAACCAAAGACATTGGCACAAACTTCTTATAGTTCCAGCTTTCCAAATTTAGAGAAGGGCCAGCAGGTGTAGCAGTTACAACACGGGACTCTCACATGGGCCGACGACTGTTGAGAGTCTCAGACCCGGTGCCTTGAAAAGCACATCGGGCGCATATGCATACATGCCCACGATTCCAGAAGGAAAATGGAGGAAAAGGGATTGTAGTATGGCCATTCCCTCTAGGGGGTGATTTCTCACTTGTGCTCTCACTGTCTATTTCTCTCTCTGGTGAGCACATGCACCATAAGGCAAAAACTTCTCAAAGATAAAACAAAACTCAAAAAATATCAGCTATTTCAGCCACAGATACTATGGGTCTCTCTCACTGATAGAAATCTTAAAATTTATAGGCACTCGCCAACTCTAACTTCTAATGTTCCTTCCTCATTTTTCCTTCCACTTGGTCAGTTTTCTTTTTTCCTTTCATTCCTTTCTTTAGATTCTTTTCTTTGAGATATTAAAAAATAAAGAAAATAAGTCTTTTCTTTTAAAATAACCACATTTCAATATTCTTTCTCAAAATTGGATTCTGAATTATTAAAATAATATAACTATTGGGTCATTGGCAACATAATGACACATTTTTGCGTAAAAAACGTCATGATTTGGGGACCAGCAGGTGGTGTGGTGGTTAAAGTGCTGGATACTCCCACGTGGCTGACCATAGTTCAAGTCCCGGACCTGGTGGCTTGCTTTCTCACTTCCATTCTCTCTCTCTCTCTCTCTCTCTCTGGTCAAATTAAAATAAATGAATGAATAAAATTAAATAAGTAATTTTAATTAAAAAAAAAAAGTCATGATTTTCCCAACAACCTAACATATGCATTCCAATTCCTTAAACTTAAATAAACGTTCTCTATTTATATGTCTGTATAACAACCCAATATATCCTGGTCTCTCTAACTGCAAATGCCTTTGTAACAGATCAACATATTAGCAATGTTTAAAATTTCAAGTAAGTACCTTATTTTAACATTTCTAACATTTTTTTAACTTCAGACATTATCAGCTTAATTACCTGCTAGATCATCAGATGGAAACATGTGGCAAGTGAATGGAAACACGGTTCATAAACTTAGAGAGGCAAAAATATGGAACGCTTCATGAATTTGCGTGTCATCCTTGCACAGGCAGGGGCCACGCTAATCTTCTCTGTATCATTCCAATTTTAGTGTATGTGCTGCCGAAGTGAGCACATTTTTAACATTTATGACAATGGAAATATTACCTCAAGTCTTCAGTTATTGATTCTTCTATCCTCGGCCTCTTTCCAAAAATGGGTTCATCTGTACCTTCAAAATCTGTATCTCTTTTGTTTTTTCCACTGTTGGTTGATTCTGATTGCAATTTGCTGTCAAAACGCTTCCTGAAAGGTAATACAATGAATTTTATAGTATCGGTTCTTACTTCAGGTGTGACACCATAAAATACTGCTCCAGACATAATATACATCACGAACAGAAAAGAGTCATCATTCATACAGATGTTATAAATCAAAACTGGTTAAAGCTCAGAGTATCCTAACTTCATAAAACTGATTACGACCCATTTTGCACATCATGTGTTCTTGAAAGGTTTTTCTTATGTTTTTTATGTTGAATATTTTTAGGCTCAGCTACGGTGGTACACATAGCAAGTCATCACTTAGCAAGGCTAGAGCCATAGGGGAAGAGTCCAGGTTCACCTGAACATGCCAGGAACATCAATAGGTTCACGCACCCACAATCTCCACTGGAGGTCTGGCATGGGAACAGAACATAGTTTGGTAAGATTGCTCTGTGTTACACCCTCTTAGAGGAGATAAATAAATAAATAAACTCATGTCAATTATTAACATAATTTTTTAAACTGTAAAATGTAATACCAATGGACATACGAACTTTTAAAACATTTAATGTCATCTCTAGATGAATAATAATTATTACTGCTCAGAAGAAAAGCTTTTTATAGTTGGATTTGCTAGCCAAAAATGATGACAGTAAAGGGTACTTGGTAGACCATGTATCTACAAAAGAATTCAATTTAACCTCTACCCTCATACACAAAAACCAATTCCATGTGATTTTGAGATCAATTTGTAAAAGGCAAAAACAAAAAAGCTTCTAGAAAATATAATGAGAAAACCAATTCATGACTTCTTCAAGAGATCAAATTATCGACAAAAAGTATGATAAGTTGGACTGCATTAAATTAAGAATTTCTTGGCCTGGCCACATTGATACACACAGTAGGGAACTATTGTATAATCCTGGAGCCCTAAGAGGCCTGGGTTCAGTACCTGGGTCAACCTGAACATGCAGAGTACACCCATGCACGCTCAAAGGTCCTGGGTGGCTACGAGGCTTGGGGGAATGGCAAGACTCTGATGCCATGCACCTCTCTCTCATGAAATAATGAAATAAATTTTAAACATATCACTAAGAGAATAAGGAGGTGACCCGGTTCAGTGGTACAAGTGGTAGAGTAGGTAAGGCTGGGGCCACATGGGAGGCCCTGGTTCAGTTCTGGATCAACCTAAATTTAAGCCTCAGCACAGTGGCACATGCCTATAATTCAAGCTAAAGGGAGGATGGGTCAGGACTGTGGCATGCCAAGATCCTGCCAAACAATACTATCTCTCTTCCCCTCATTAAAAGAGAAAAAAAGAATAAAGAGGCAATGGTGGAAGTGAGATATAGCATACATGTAACTGAAGAAGGTAAATGCCTAGGCCCAGTTGCAGTGGTGTAAGCAGGAGGGTATCAGTGTATGGTGAATGACTGAGGTTGCATGGGAGGCCCAGGTTCGATTCCCTATTTAACCTAAACAGGCAGGACACGGTGGCACACTGTGGTTCCAGTTAACTATGAGGTAAGGGCAGGAGGGCTATAATGTGGTCAGACATTGTTAAAAAGAAATACTGGCAGGAAGCTCAGAACAATAAATCAACTTAAAATAATCTAATGTTTTAAATGAGTAAAAGACTTTATGGGCATTTTGCAAAAGAAGCTATCCAAACAGGCATAATAATATGAAAAGGAGCTCAATATCAAAATGTATCAAAGTGTTGATGGAAATAACCAACTCTGCAGAAATAATTAATGCAGTTTATTTCTTTTTTTGTTAGAAATTTATTAGAATTATTTTTATTTAACTTTAGAATTAAATTTATTCAACTTTATTTATTATTGCTATTGTCGTTATTGTTGTTGTTTCCCAATCTGATCAGAGAGAGAGAAAAAAAGTGAGAAAGCAAGTCACTAGGTCCAGGATATGAATCATGGTTGCCCATCTGGGAATCCAGCGCCTTTAATCACCACACCACCTGCAGGCTTCCTATACAGTTTCTTTCTTCCTTTTTTAGAGAGAGTTTTGCTATAGGGCACGTGCACTTGCCGCAGAAACAGAAAAAGACAAAAAGTGAGAAATCATACCCTGGGGGGGATGGCCACACCACAATCCCTTCTCCATTCTCCTCTCGGGATCTTGGGCACACACACCCGGCGTGTATTTAAGTCGTGGGGTCCTGGATTCAAACCACAGTCGACTACGTAGGAGCCCAGCAACGTAACCATTATACCATCTGCTGGTCCCCAAAGAAGTTTATTTCTAAACATGACTGTATGTGACCAGCCCAGAGAAGAGGCAACACACATTTTCTTGGGGTGATCAGGTACAAGGGTTCCTTTTATTTGATGTTAAGAGAGACAAGGTTTAGAATTTAGTGAAAATTGTTCTTTCATTAGTCTGGTCCCAAACCATGGGACATCTGGAAGGGAGGTGGGGGCTTGTAGCTTATAGGTGGGTTTTACAATCTCTATGTTGGTGATTAGAAAGGGAGGCCTTGGTTTCAGGAAGGGATCAGCAAAGAGTGTACTTTAACAGAGACAAGGGGGCTTGTATACTGTACCAAGGTCAGAACGCTGAAAGAGTCCTATTATCACTGAGTCAAAAATGGTGGGCATGACTTGCCAGGGACAGGATGAAGGAAGAGTCCTGCTATCAAATGGGCCAAAATGATCTGTTAATATTTGTGGGCGTGACTCATTTTAAGTCCATCATCTAAAAACTCTTTAAAATGTGTAACTCTTCTACCTCCTTACCTAGACTGAAAATTCCCTGGAAACAAAATCATGTCTAGGTGAATTTAAGCATGTATCTGTAAATTCACCATGCCATAAGTAAATTTTAGTAATTAATAATAATGACCTCACTTTAACAAAATAGCTTTTCCATGTTCTGCTATGAAAAGTCTACACGCTTTCTGGCGGCTATCAGTCTACACATGTGTTTAAGACTCAGTAGTTTAAATAACTTTTTAAAATAAACTCAAGAACGCTAGTATTTATTTGTTTATTAGGTGCAAAGCATTTTAGGCGCTTTATGCATATTATTTCATTTAATCTTCGCAACCACCCTAGAGGTAGGAATTTCATCTGCAGTTCTTGGAACAGAAAACTATAGCTTGGAGGCTATATTTTCTCTCCCTTCCTCGCTTGCTATTTCCTCTCCCCTCCAAGTCAATTCAAGTCATTCTTTGTAAGCTTCGTCACCCTTTTCTCAACTAGTCCCTCGTTTTATTAAAACACTAGGTGCCAGGAATTGGGCTGGCACTCTGTGTACCAGAGTTATGTTACGTGCCCTCAAGACCCCACAGGCAAGACGTAGGAAGAGCCAGCAACGCAGGTGTATGGGAATGTCAGACAGCCTCCAGGAATCGGGAAAAGCGAAGACCCGGTTTCCCTCAACCAATCTTCTTCCCCTCCAGTCCCTTCGTCCAACCCCTTCACTGCCCAACACCACTCGATGTGCACCCCCATTTTCTCGAGCTCTGCACAAGAGAGCCATGTTTTCTCCCCAAAGTACCAACGCTGGAGTGCGAAAAGAGAAAACCTTAGACGTCCTCCTTACCCGGCCTTGTCTGCCGATCCTGGCGGCCCCTTCAATTTCCCTTTCTCCTTTTCTTTGTCTTTTTTGTTCCCAGCTGCAGTCGTTGAATCATCCTCGAACACGCTAAACAGCTCATCCCCGAACGCGTCCGCCATCTTTCCGAGCGTGAGACTCTATCTTCCTCTTACCCACGATGCCACGCGACCACACCGACGGTGTTGTCCAATGACGACTCGACAGTGGCCCGTGGGAGTCAAAATTAGCTGAGTGTCACGACCGAAGGAAACTCTCTCCAGGCTCTTTTTTTTTTTTTTTTTTTTTTTTAAATTTTTTTACTTTCTCTTTTTTCTTTTTTTTTTTTTTTTTCTTTAAATTTTTTTACTCTCTCTTTTTCCTTTTCTTTTCTTTGCCGTAAAGGCAACTAGCTGTCTGGTAACCCAAGGAGTACGGCCTACCGCGCGCAGCACGCGGTACGTAACGGGGCACGGCGAGAAGGCGGAGCCTGGTGAATCGGACCAATTGCGAGGCAGCTGTCGTCCAGGTCCTGGAAGCCCGGATGGAGGACGCAGGTTGGCGGCGCGGGTGCAGGGGAATGTAAGGAACTCTCTCTCTGCTGTGGTGGTGCCGCAGGCTGGACTGGAGTGAATTCTCTGTCACAGCTACAACATGGGCGGCAAGAACAAGAAACACAAGACGCCGGGGGCCGCGGCAGTCCGCGCCGCGGTGTCTGCCTCCAGGGCCAGATCTGCTGAGGCCGGACCTGCCGGGGAGGCCCAAAGCAAGAAGTCTGTGGCCAGGCCGCCCCCTTCCGTTACGGTCAGCGCCCGGGAACCCCGAGTAAAGCAAGGTAGGAGGGGACGCCGGGCCCTGCGCTGTTCGCCCCAAAAGCTGCTGCTGGTCCCAAGAAAGGAGCTTTCCAACTAGGGCGGACCCTTGGGCTCAAAATTTATATCTCCCACACTAGGGGTTGGTTTGCCAGCTGCCCGCGGGTGGCCTTGTATTAAGTTAGACTTTGGGCCTCCAGAGTTCCATTGATAACCCATCTGCAGTCCGGCATGTCCCTTCTAACTCGCACTTTTTCTCCTTCCAAGAACAAAAAATTTCATTAGCTTCTGATTCATCATGGATCTCTCCTGAGCTGTCATCTCACCTGGCTAGGGCTGTTGCAGAGACAAGTAGTTAGTAGCGTCCCTAACTTGGTGTCAGTCTCATTCTCTACTTGCACTACTAAATAAAAATTACAGTTCTTACACATAGAACATGAGTTGTAACCTATAGCAAAATTAATTGCACTCTTTTCTACAGCTACTCATTTTTGCTTACTGTGCAAATTGGCCATTGCTGCTGATGATCAGGAGGCCACTATTACGACTAGTTTCAAAAGATTAACAATTGTATGTCGTTTTATTCAGCTTAGCTTGTTTGCTGGTAGTTCTTATTGAAATATTCATTCAACAAATATCTATTACACATCTGTGTTTATATACACAAATACTTACCATGTATTTGACATGGTGTTGGGAATGAGATGAGCAAAATAGAAACATCACCTCTGGAGGAATATCCCAGTCTAATGTGGAAGATAGGTCTTGACTAATCACACAGGCAGGCATATTACTTTAGAATTGGTAAGTGACATCAAGAAAAGTGCGGGGTGGGGAGGGTGTTAACAGGATACTCTAATTTGTATAAGGTGAAGTGGGTTTTGTGGATGACCTCTGAAAAAGGGACAGTTAAGCTAAGATCAGGAGGGTGAAAATGAATTAACACTGTAAAGCATGGTAGAAATAAGTACTACAGGCGAAGGTAATGAATACCATGTGCAAAGATCTTGAGTGAGCAAAGATCTTGGGGCTCTCGTGAAGTTCATAGAAAATAATCATTGCCTAAGCAGAAAAAGGAGATGAGACTCAAGAGGTAAGCAGGTACCAAACCTTCATGTAGAAGATGGGTAAGAGTTCTTTGCCCAACAATGTATTGTAATTTTAACTATACATGTATTATGTGTATAATTACAAATACATGAATTTCTCCCAGATTGCTTTGTGGCAATTTTACTTGTGGAGCAGCCTTTTTTTTTTGACTATCCCTTTGTCTTGACGCATCTCAGGGTTCTTTGAACTTTCTGTAGTCATCTGGTGTATTTTTGGCTTTCCTTTCTTTTAGCTCCAATGACTCTTTCTCAAGGTATCAACCCTTGATGGTATAGTTCCCCGTATAGCATTTTCGAAGAATTCATCTGTTGCCATCACTTATATAAATATGTTACTTTGTAGTTGACTTTCCAATTGACATGTCTTATACTGGCCACTCTTCCAAGTTCAAAGCAGTCATTTCTACATTTACATGGATCATTTGGCTCTACTTTAGCATGTGTCTCAACTTAACATGACTAATATTAAGATTCTTTCCTCAAATTAACTTTTTCTCCTGCTTCCTTTTTTTCCATATTCCTATTCGTGCAGTCAGTAATTACTTATGATGCTTTCAGTTCTTCCTTGCATTCAGTCTGTTACAGACTGCAGTCTTCACTTACGTATCTTTCACATACACCCTCTCACTTTCTGTGTGTGTCGTTCACACCCTAGACTAGGCATTCATGAATTCCCAAAATACCCGAGCTGTGTGTATCAGGAAGAATTAAAAGGGAGTTGACATCAGACATGGTTATTAAAATATTTTGGTGAATGGTGTTAAGATAGATGGCACTCCACAAAGAGAAAAGCGTTTTAGTATGGGTTTCCTATAGCTTCGTTCTTTGTTGCCTCCTGCAGTCTGTCCTACATATCATCAAATTGATCTTGTAGAAATGCTAATTTGGTTACAGCAGTACTATTTTCTTTCACAGCATCTTCACTGATTTGGCAATAAAATCTAAACCATCCAGCTAGCATCTAAGACCCTCTTTACACCTTTTCTGGTTTTTAAAACTAATCCCTGTAGTTAATTATAGCAACTCTGTTGTATTTTCAATGCTCCAAATGGAGTGTTTGACTTTCTGCCTTTCATGTGTATTCTTGCTATTTTCTTTCATGGAGTGCCATCTACCTTAATACCGTCTACCAGAGTCCCATGTGATGTCAACTCCATTTTAAATTCCTTGTGATGACCTCAGTTCATGGATTATGGTTGTTCAAATCATTCTTTTTCATAGTTAGGTCTTGCCTTATAGTGTGTGAGGAATTACACATTTTATATCTTCTGCAAAGTTATAAGAGTTGGAATTATTTCATGGATATATATAAAAATCTCCCCAGTATATGTTCCAATGATGTGCAGATTGTTACTCAAAACATTTCTAGGATAAGTGATAGGAAAAATTTACAGAGGTGATTAAGACCAAAAAATCAAGAGAGGTGGGACCAGCAGTTAGCGTAATGGCTATGTCGCTGGACTCCCACATAGTCAACCGCGGTTGAGTCTTGGACCCAGTGGCTTAAAGTCACGCAGGGCGCGTGTGCGTGCGTGCCCAGGATCCTGAGAGGAGAATGGAGAAAGGATTGTGGTG